CTTGGTTTCACGTAAAGTTTGCAACTTTATGTGAGGGTTATATTGTAGAAGGGTAGATCTATGGATTGGAGCCCCTGCATGGCTCGAAAAGCTTCTGAATGGGTTAAGAACTGGAGAGACTCGGCGAGTCACATAGGTGTACTCGACGAGTTGTATGAACATGTGCATAGACTCGACGAGTCTGTTGAAGATTGCCTTGGACTCGGCGAGTCTGGTCGCAAAACCCAACCTCTTTTGGTCAAAGCTTTAGATTAGTGAGTCGGTTGGCGATTCAGTGAGTTGGACAGGATGGCATTCCAAGATCGTTCAACTTGACGAGTCTTGGGGCGACTCGGCGAGTTGAGTTGTGTTATGAGAGTTTTCTGGGAATAGGAACTCGGCGAGTCGACGGGTTGACTCGGCGAGTAGGATCAACCAGGAAGGTTGACTTTGATTGAGGACTTTAACTTTGACCAAGAGTTGACCGGTCTGACTTCCAAGGGTATTGGTAATTTTGGGTATTTATGGAATTGGTTCTTTGGTGTTATGTGGTGAAGATTATGTCGGTGATCGGAGCAGCTTGGTCTTATCTCTTCAGTCGGCAATTGCAGGTGAGTTATCCTCATTATATCGACAGGGTCTACGACACCAAGGTCGGCCCTTTATCGGATGGGAATCCGGGTATTGTTTGTTATATTATTGCTTTGCTAGATCTGCTTCCTGGTATTTAGGATGGTATTATGCTAGTGACCTGGTTAAGGTCAGTACCCGGTAATTAGGGTAATGCTATGTTAGTGACCTGGGTAAGGTCAGTACCCGGTATATAGGGTAATATTATGCTAGTGACCAGTTAGGTCAGAATCCTAGTTAGGATGTTGATATGCTATGTGATCTGTTAGACTGTTTGTCTGGTTAAGGATTTGTTATGTGGTTAATTGTTGTATGTGCACATGGTTGTTTGACGGGGGTTGGGTTGAGGCGGGTCCTGCTTTGTGCTGTAAGCCAACATACCCAGGGCGGACCGGACATTCCAAAGGCCCATCGAGCGGTCCGGATAGGCTGAAGGCCCCAAAAGGGCGAACCAGACGTGCCGAGGCTCGGAGAGTGGACCAAGCCGACTGAAGGCCCGGTGTGGGCGGACCGTTCATACTGTAGACTCAGAGGGTGGACCAGGTGGATTGAAGGCCCGGTGCGGGCGGATCAATCACACTGTAGACTTGATGTACAGGGCTAGACTCGGAGGGTGGACCAGGTGGACTGAAGGCCCAGTACGGGCGGACCAGTCATACAGTAGACCTGATGTGCATGGTTGTTCTATCTGTGATATGTTATGAGTATGTTTATGTGTGGTTGGTATTTTAGGGGTAACTCACTAAGCTTTCGGGCTTACAATTCAGTGTTTTGTTTCGGGTACTTCTGGAGATCGTGGCAAGGCGAAGGCGTGATCGTACCGTTCCTCATGTTTTATAACTTATGTGATATGGTTTTGAGAAATACTTTGATGTTTAAACTATTTTGAAAACAAATGTATAAACTTAATGGTTTTGAATGAATTAAAATGTTTTAATTTGGCTCGAATTTTATGGTCGTTACAATATATTAGACCTAAATATTTAAATAAAATTACCCCCGCGTAAGCTTTTAATGTTGTTTCCTCATCGATAAATATGACAGACGTAGAAAGTACAAGGATGAAAAGCCCAGGCTTTGCTCCGAACCGTTTTTTTCATATTTTATAAAAAAAATGTAAAAGTTTTGACTGTAAGGACCAGATGTGTCAAAATGGCTAAAGAATTAAAGGGGTAGGAATTAGCAACTTTTTAGAAAAGGCATCAAAGTTGTCAAACCATTAAAGTTTTGTGTTCAAACTTTAAATATTAAAAAGTTCCTAAAAAGTGTAAAAATATTAATTGCAAGGACCAAAAGTATCAAAATGACTAAATGGTGGTTGTCAAGGCCAACACAAATAATAACCCTAAATGTTACACACTAAAATAGTGTATAGTAGTAAAGGGATCGAATCCACGGAGATTGGTTCAATTTCTAACTCTATGAAAAATCTCTTTGTAAAAATACTTGTAAAATAACGATAAAAATAAAATGGGGGGTTTTGGTGTTTTGAAATACTTGAAGCTAACTAGAATTAACTATGATTTAAATAGACAATTGCAACAAAAATAATAATTTGATGTAAAATCAATAAGGGAAAGATGGTTGACTTAAAGTTTTCTCACTTTGACTTTTGATGAACATATCATTAGAATTCAATGGTGCAATACTTGTTTTAAATCCTCAATTTGGCTATAGTAATCCAAGGAGCTTGAGATTACCTAGACTTTTCTTAATTGTTGAAATGGCTAGAGAAGCTCATAACAATTTCCTTAGTCAAAGTCACTAATTCCAAATAGCATGTAATTAGTGAAAGTCAACTAGCATTAAAAACCAAAAAGTCACCAAATCCAAGAGGGGTCAAATGCTTTCACCACCATGTTGGAGGAAATGTTTTTATGATTATGTGAAGCAAAAACAACACAAAAATCATTTGTTGCTTGCTAATTTGAGGATCCTTTACTTAATCAAGAAATTAGCCAACTAATCACCACAAACACATTTAAACTCATGAACTAAAACATACAAGTAATGATAAGATGTTAAAACACAAAACATTCCCATAAAGATTCAAGAACATGTTCATGGATTCTTCAACATTCAACAAAAGTTCAAAGGATTAACCAAAAGTCAACCAAGATTAGCTTAGCCAAGCATGGCTAAACACAAAGAAACAAAGTTAGAGAAATTTGTACCAAACATTAAGCAAGAATCAAGAGGTAAAAATATGATGTTCTTCAAGGGTTCTTGGCCTTCAAAAGTCTCCAAAACTCCAGAGAGAATCTTCAAAAATCGGATGTCCAAGAGTGTGCAAAAGATGGGCACCAACCTTCCTCAAATAGCTCAAAAGAAGAATTTCCGAAACTACCCCTGCAGGGCCTTGCGCGACCCGCGTGCTGCTGCGCGGGTGGTGCCTGACATGGGCTTCTTTGAGATTTTGGGCCTCTAAAGCATATCCCACTAGCCCAGATCGAATCCAATCACCTCCTAGCCCATTTTCTTCAAGTTTTTCTTCATTTAAAGCCCAATTTGACCTCTCCAAATCCTCCAAAGCTCGTGAACTCGCCCGATTAATAATTTTCATACGCTTGAATGTTCCCCCGCATATTGCAAATTTAAAGCTTATTTCTCTCCAAGTCTTCAAATAATCATCAAGATCACTCCATGCATCATCTCCACTACCCATCAAGCCCAACGTCATTTTTGTCTACCAAATCTCATCGCCTCCTATACGTCCCGAACACTCCCGCTCCGCTAGACCCGAAAACCTGCAATTATGCTCACAAGATTCGAGAGTACCCGAAATAGTCATAAAATAATAAAAAGGAAAATATGCATGGAAATTATCTAAGTTATGAATGAAATATGCTAAAATAAACTATAAAAAGAAGTAAATAAAATGAAGCTAACAAATCACCCCAAGCTTAAACCTTACTTGTCCTCAAGTAAGACAAGACTAAATGAACTTGGGATGAACTACCCTAGAAATAAAAAGAATGGATAGAACCATGGAACCTGTCCGACGTTAGTCAACATGGTCAGAATTGATTTCGCTGCTATCTCACAACTTTTTCATCCGATGACAATGGAACCATAAACCACAGCCAGGACAACTCCTTTAGGTGAGTAAGGAGGGATGAGCAGTCGCAGCCTCAATGGAACATGTATACAATGAAGAACATCTGTAGTAGGGAGAAAGCAACTGGATGGGCTCGGGTGGAGCTCTTCTTTAAGTGCACACTCTGATCTCACATCTGCCGGTTTCTCTCATGTGTAACTAGGTTTAATCGCTCGGGCACCATTGTAGGAATCAGTTCACTTAGTGTTGGCCCAAACCTCCCGTAGTATCCGACTCGACAGTCTCTCTAACATCACCAATTTGTGAGAAAAAAAAAAAATAACAACTCGATCTATATACAATAAAACAGATCTATACAAATGAATATCAAACGTCGGGTGACCAAGATGTTGGGAAATTTGTTCAATAATTGAACCGGCCACCTATCTAAGATAGTTGCGACTGAAAATTTGCATGCTTCATTTTGTTTTTGTTTTTGTGTTTTTTTTTTTTTTTTTGTTAATTTAAAACCCTTTGACTCAAAATTTGGTTCCCAAAGGTGTGTAGGTGGAACCGAAAGGGTAATGATATAATCCGAATGGCCTAAGTGTGAAAATGACCATGTGTGGAGCATAAAGATGTAATGTAAGCTCCTTTTCAAACTTGTGGTTTTTCAAAGATAATGAAAATGTCCAAATGTGGACTAAAAGACTCTCTAAATTCTAAGAAAATCGCAAAAAGATATGGTGATGTAAAGAGACCGGATATGGATTCTACTCGGGGACAAGCACCAATGCTTCATCCTAACAGTTCAAACATGATCAAGTGTGATCCTCTCCGCGGTAGTGACCGCAAGGCTAAGAACACCCATTGCTATAGTATATCCTACAGTTGTTAGTATTGTATGCATAATTCTTCATGAAAACTACCTGTCCATGATCACTTACCCCTTTAAGCTACCAGCATCTGATCCCAAGTATGAAATCCCAAACTGCAGCTAGTGGTCCCGGTTCGATGGGTGAGATAGCAACAAGATCCTGGACCAATAATGATACAATAACTATGAACCTGTTCCATGGCATCCAAGAGAGGTGAGAATAAACAGACAACAAAAATGCATGAATGCTAATGTCTTAAGCTAAATGTTATGCAAAAATAAAAAGTAGAAAAGAAGAAAATAAAATCTTTTTAAATTTAATAAAATAAAAAAAAATGAATGCAAATTAACTTAAACTAATATGTTATGCAACCTAACTAAAAATGCATGAAAAAGAGTAAGAAAAAAGGGAAATGCCCCACCCCAAGCTTAAGAACAAGCATTGTCCTCAATGCTTAAGGAAAGGGCAGAAAGGACCTAAATCGGGGGGTCGGGCGGCGGGAAATGCCCGTGGCGATGGTGGTAGTCCCACATATCCTGGAGCTGGCGGGAAGTGTGAGAGGAGGACTGCTCCAATCGATCAACACGGCTTGCCACATCTAGGATGGCTCTCGAATTCTCTTGCGTTTGGGCGTCGATGCGCTGCACCGTAGAACATTGTGGCAAATTGGTCAAAGAACGTGGGGGGAAATATGGTGGGACTTCGTGTCCCTCCTGCTGATGCGGCTGGTCAAAATGATGTGGAGGGGCCTGGAACTGATCATGCTGAAACATCGGCTGCTGCATCGAGGGTTGGTCAAAATGGTCTTCAGCTTCGGGCATCTCGTCGTCCTCTTCGTCATCTTCTTCCTCTTGTTCCTCTGCGTCGTCACCCTCATCATCACCGAATTCTGGGAATACACCTGCTTGGGTCAATTGATCTGGAGGAAGCCAAGTGTCGGGTCGCCTGTATCGAATGAAGAACCGATCCAACTTGGCAGGATGTAAACCGGGGCTTTGTCAGCGTCTAACCAACTGTACGTGCGGGTTCCCGATCGAGCAACATCTCCATCCGGATGAGAGTGTCACAATCTAGCAGGAAGTTCGGTGGGGTGTCGACAGGTATGTACTCGGGATCCGGGAAGTCTAGGCCGACGGCTCGACCTATGATCGTGATAAGTCCCCCGATGAAAATTTCCCCTGAGGAACGTTGGCGTATGGAGTCACATTTGTCTAAAAAGAAGCCTGAAAAACTGAGGGAGAGTGCATGCCTCATGCTTCGGAGGAAAAATAGCTCACATCTGTTGATTTGACCGGGCTCGAGACGCCCGAAGATACTGTCGTAAGGACTCGGTGAGCAATTCGCCAACAGGGGTGAACGATGTGCTTGGCTCGCTGTCGGCTTGGGTTGAAGGTTGGGAGACCGGAAATTTGCATCCAGAAGTTTGCATCAGGGCAACGCAGAAAATCTTGGTACTCTTGATTTTGGGGGCTGATGCGGAACGGATCGTCTATACCCATGATAGATCAAGCTCTGCGTATGTGAGTCTATGATGCTCCCCTTTCAACTGGAATGTGAGGACTTCCGTGTATCATCTCGTGCATATGTGCTAAGAAATTCCATTGTGGGTTCCTCGTAAGTTCTGTCACAAAGTCGAAGAAAACCACGCCAACCGAGTTTTATGAACAAATGGTATACCCATCATGCACCCCAAGCTTTTTCATGGACTTTTTATGGTAGAATTTTGTCGGCCGGATTGCGCGACCCCGAAGATTGGAGCGATAGGTTTTGATCTCAGCATTTGTAAGGGAAGGATCGCTTCCCTCTTCTCCTCTTTTTTTTCGTTTACCGGCTGCTTTGCGTGATGGACCGGCGGTATCCTTTGCGGGTTAGGATCGATCGATGATCCATGGGTGCGTGTCCGAGCCGTGGTTTTGCCCATTTTCGAAACCTACAATATCAAAAACAACTTCACCAACGTAATCCCTCACCTCACCACTCTCAAATCAATGCAACTATCTTTAGACCGAACACAAAAAAAAATCCAAGAAATAATGACACCCAACTTTTGACAATGTAAAATGGTTTCAACAACAACACTCGGTTAATTTGATAATCCCAACAAAAATTCGGCAGCAATACGAGACAAAATGAGAGAATCCCAACCAAAGTTTAAAAATTTTTGAACAAATTTCCAAGCAAATCAACCAATCTCAACCTTTCTCAAATCAATGTTTCCAAATAAACCGGGCAACAACTAACGATCTTAGGCAATTTCCAAAGCATAATTGAATGCAATTACTGAATTGAAACAATACAATGTAATAAAAACCAAGGAAAGAGAATACCCGTTTTATCCCAAAATTGAACTTGAACCCGGAATCCGCTACCGTGCACCCCAAGCTTTGGTTATTCGTGGGTGCCTAAATGCAAGACTTGTTCATTGAACGGATATTTTCAACTTGATTTGTGTGAAAAATCCGGCGGCGGCTCGTGGTGGCTCAAAAATTATGGGAAATTTTTGGTGAGATTTTGAGGTTTTGTTTGGTTAGATGTAAAGATCCCCGAAAAAGAAACACTTTGGTGGTGTCGGAATTGCGAGAGGTGGTGGGAGTTGGCCGGAAAATGGCCGGAAAGCCGCGAGTTGGGTGGTGGTGGCGCCCCTAGATTTGGCGATGGATCGGAGTAAACTTTAGGTGGGGTTTGTAGAGCACGGAAAATGGTGAAGAATGGTGGTGGTCTCGTCGTATTCCGACCGGTGGAACTCCGGGAAATCAAATTTTTGTGAAAAGTGGGTGTATGTGTTCTTGAGAGTTTGAGAGAGAATGAGAGGGTTTTGAGAGAATGAAATGAAGAAGGAGAGTTGCTGGAGGTTTTCAATCCATATTCAAGTGTGGTCAACACCCGGTCAATGTTGGTCAACTCATTAAACCACCTGGTCAACGAAAGTCAAAGCTGGTCAACAAAATAGGGGATAGTCGTCAAAGCAGCACGCGGGTCGCGCAGAGGGGGCGCGCGGGTCGCGCATGTGTTGCAGTTTGGAGCTTGATCTTTGTTGCATGTTGAAGACCGGCCGCGCACACCAGCCGCGCAGCGTGCGCGGGTCGCGCAGACTCCTGCTCCCGGAAATCGATTTTTCTCTGTTTTCTTCCGTTTCTTCACTTAGTTCTTGATCCCAAATGCCCCAAACACCTAGAAACTCTTGATTTCTTCAAAAATGACTTCAAAAGACGTATCAAAACATTTTCAAAACTTCTTTATTCGAACGTAGAAACACGAAAGCATAAAGCTTTTCCAAAAATGCCTCTCTTTAACGTCTTAGGCGAGACGTCCTTCTAGCTTGGTTCAACACTCCGGTGCATCCAAGTGGATGACTTCAATAACACTTGCATTAAAACTTTCATAGAATGGCTTTAATCGGTGCCCGTTAACTTTGAAAATATGTCCCGTTTCTACTTTGGATTTCCACCGCTCCATGGTCAAAAGTCTTTGTTACAACAAATGGGCCAATCCACCTTGATCTTAATTTGCCCGGGAATAACTTCAACCGTGAATGGTAAAGTAACACCTATGTCCCGGTTCAAAATTCTTCCGGGTGATGGACTTGTCGTGGAAGAGCTTCGTTTTCTCCTTATAAATCCTTGCGTTTTCTTAGGATTCGTTTCTCAATTCTTCTAGCTCTTGGA